CGGTTCAAGAATGTTGTTTGGGTTGTAGAAAGTATGCCTAAAAGAGAAAAAAAAAAAAAAAAAAAGAGAGAGAGAAAAGAGAAGAAGGAGGCCAGGGAGAGATGAGAGAGGTTTCACTCTGTCCTTCTGCGCTGACCGCTGTATTTCTGGAAAGGAGAGCACAGCCCCAGCTGCAGCAGCCACCAGATGTTGAGTGCAGTCCCTTTGTGGCTCGGCCAGACTGAACCCCAAGGATCTGCTCCCCTTCCTTCCATGATTTCCCCACATTTCTACCTTTTCTGGTCTGGTTTAGCATCTGGCACTGTGAACATTCCCACAAAGCAAGAGGGGTCTGCCAGCTGAGTTGGGGTGACAATCACTGGAAGGTGACAACCACTAGGGAAGCTGTATGGCTGCTCCTCTGGGCACAAGAAAGGCAAACCCCTCTGTGGGCATCCACTGTGGGCTTAGGAGATCAGTGAGGTGATGGAGAGGTGAGAAAGAGAAGAAGAAGGGAAGCTGCAAACATCCAGAAAGGCCATGCAAACCTGGATGCCACAGTCCTCCAGGGCACCTCTGCTCTGGCATTTGGAACAGGAGCCTGGTGCAAAGAAGGGGCTCCAGAACATGGCCTCGTGATGTTGCCCACTATGGTGGCTCTGAAGATGTTGCCTCATTCATTTCCACCTGGGGCACGCTGAGGTTCAGGGCCTCCCTGGGATCTTCTTGGATTCTTGTGACTGGAGCCCCTCAAAACAGCAGCTGGGACCTTCATCTTCAGGAATTGGCTTTTCATTATAAAATTCAGAAGAAGCCCCTGGAGCCCCCAGGTGAAAGCCCCAGGAAAGCAGAGCCAGCAACCCTCACCCCGCAGCACCACAGACCAACAGGCACTGGAAACCAAAGAAAACAGGGAGGAAGAGGACAGAGCAGCGAGCAGCTCCAGCAAGGCTGAAACTTCATGGAAATGTGGAAGAGGCAGTAATAACATTTCCATGAGTAAGAAGGGAAGCTGATCTGAAGTAGCCGTGCTTTATGACAATCGCTGGGTTTGGATGCGCGTGGGACATTTAATAGCTCAGCATCCACCAGGAAGAATGAGCCTTATCCTTAGCAGGAGCATCAGATTGCTTTGATTCTTCATTATGCAATGGAGCATTTGCTACCTGTGCCAGAGCAGTGGTCCATGCACAGGACAGTGCTCCAAGTTCCAAGTGCAGTGTTTGTAAATTAAAGGCAAATTTGGGCCAGTTTGCTGGTTTCAGATACAAAGCTCAGGAGCATTTGATCAAAACAACTGGAGCAAACCCAACCAAAACAGACACTGCTCACATCAGTTTGGTTTAGAAAACCAAAGCAAACCAATACCGCATCTGTCTGGCCCTGATGAAATGCAGACTACAACTGTTAAGTGTAACTGCGCCGGATGGGATTATGCAGTGATAGGGACCATTGGCTTTGAGCAAGCAGGACAGCGTGTTCCCAGCTCCTGGTACCAGTTCAAGTCTTCCTTTGAACAGTAAGCCATTGGGAAGAGGTGTCTATAGATGTCCAAAAAGTTTGATGAAAGTTGAGGACAGCTGCAGAAGCTTTGCACTGGCCTGAGAGGAGCAGTAGCATTGAGGTATTATCAACAGCCATGTTCATGCCAGCAGAACCAGACAAATCAAGCAGGATCACCCCAGGAGTGGCTCAGGAGACAATGGCCACCTGGAACATGAGATTGCAGGGTTAACCAGATCAGATGTACATGCTTCTTTAGATGGCAGCTTTTCACTTCCCTGAGACAGCCCCAGAGGACATTGGAGCTGGGCAGGATGATCAGGCAGAAAGCCCTGGTAACTATGGGGAACACCGAAACTGAGCCCCAGCATGTCATTCTGTTCTGGTTTAGGCTGGGAAAGGGGGATGTGAGCGTGGGAATGGAGCCAGCCATGCATGAGGGCTCTGTGGGACAGCCTGCCCCAAGGCTGCACACCCAGAGTCAGGAGTATTTTTGACTTCCAGAAGGTGGAGAGGCCGCCTTCCTTATCTAACCCAGCTACAGAAATGGTGCTTTTCCAGAAAAACATCCAAGCCCTTTGCAAGTCTCTGAGCTGCTGGCCAGCAGGACACCTCAAGCTGCCAGAGATGTGGGGCTGGTTGACACCATCCAAGCACCAAACAGCAGATGTTGCTGGCTGCCTTTCCCTGGAACGGGGCTGGGGCAGCAGGAGCCCTCTGTGTGGGGTTTCCCCCTGCACCACCCCCAGATTCCCCCCCCTCACACACCAAAGTTGTGAGCCCTTCTCAAGCTGCAGTGGCAGTGCCCCACAGGGACAAAGAGGTGCTGTCAGCTCAATGGAAGCCCATGGGGAGGCTCAGAGAGCACCCCCTGCCCCCCCGCTTGATGAGGGCTTTACCTTCTTTGGGGCAGCACAGCCCCCTATCCTCTTTCCCCACTTGAAGGCAAGGTTTCTCCCCGGAGAAGCAGCACTCTGCCTGCGGCACCACAGAGCTGTGCTTTCCAGGCGTGCTCTTCCTTCCCAGCCTCACATCCTGGCACAGTCCCCACTGTACAGTTTGTCCCTCACAACCCTGTCCATGAACCACTCGCACATTCCTCCTCCCTACAGTGAGGAACACAGATTGATAAGGATCTTTGCAAGTCTCCCCAGGGGCGGAGGATGTTTTGGCTGGGAAATATCAATGGGAAGCAGGGAGAAAGCAAGCCCAGAGGGAGCGTGGCACCTGCCAAGCTTGCTAAATAACTGCAGGCTCCTCAGCAGAGCCGGGTGTGCTGCTGGAACAGGGCACAGAGCAGCAGGCAATGGGCGGTCAGGGCTCCTCCTTCCTTCTCCCTGCAGGAAGAAATGCTTCAACAGCCATCAGAGAGCCATGGCCAGTGCTGAAGTGGGCAGAGACAGGGACCAGGGATCAGCACCCAGCACTCCACAGTTTTGCAGGATGCAGTGGGCACTGCATAGCAGGAGGTGCTGCAAGCTGCCATGTCCACAGTTCTGTCACCAAGAACATGTTCCCACCCCCCACCCCAGATTCCCTCCCCCGGAGCCTCAGTGGGGACCCTGCAGTCCTGGGTGGGAGGGCACATGCAGTAGAAATGCCAGCTTGGCATCTGTCTCCTTCCAAGCTGAAGAGAAATTCCCAGTGTCACAGTGGCCCTTTGGTAGGCAATTTATTTACTTTGGATGCTGCAGCCTTATCGTTCATGGAAATGTTTATCCTAAATATTTAATAGCAGGACTGCATAAACGGAGGTTTCCTGGGGAAGGAGCCCAGGCTGCAGTTGGGGAAGGCACAGCGTCCCTTCCCTCAGTACTGCGAAAGTTGCAGCTACTTTCTCACTTCTCCCCAAAAATCACATCCTCAGCTCCTCAAAATCAGGGAGTTTTTCATCTGGCCAGAGGCTTCTTCATCACTTCCTGATGAGAAACACAGGAGACCTAACAACAGCCCTTTTAAAAACAACATCCCTGATTCCACTAACTCGTTAAACAGAGAGAGCCTGAAAAGTGCCAACACTCCTATGAGAAAAGACGGGAGGGAGAGAGAGAGAGGGAGGAAAGAAAAAGCAGGTTATTTATAACGCCAGGCTGCGTTAGGGTCTCTTCAGTCTCTCCTGCAAACTGTCTGCTGCTAGGAGGTCACTCCCAAAAAACCTGCACAGCCCGTGACCTGCAAGCACAGTGTTTGATCTGGGATCTAGGGCGGGCACCAGTCCTTGCACACTGGGAGACGCACTCACATGCTGCTTGACACACGGGAGATCCCAGTGCAGCACAGCGAGGCTTTGGAAAGGAGGCTCTCCGCTTGGTAAGTCCATCTCCATATTTATTCTGATTTTTTTTTTTTTTTTTTTAAAGCTCAATTTCCATAGCCCTGCTGTGCCACGCAGAGCACATGCCAGCGACACGGGTGGCACAGCATGGGTGCCAATGTGCCCTCTCCTGCTCCTGCCCCAAGCAGCAGCTCCCCAAATGTTTGCCATGGGATCCACAAACCCACAGCACATGCAGCCCCCTGCCCCACACAGCTCTGCCAGATCTTCTGCTGCTTGTGTCGTGCCTGCGATGCCACTCACTCTAAATCCTGCTCCCTCCCTGCGCAACAAGCTTGCCCTGGTGGGACACATGGCCCTCTAGCACAGAACAATGGAGGATGGGAGACTGCATGGATATTGTGCAGATGCCACCCAAAAATGGGGTTGAACACACCGGAGAGGGGAGAGCAGCCTTCAAATGGAGCAGGGGTGGCTGCACTGGGGCTGGTGGCACGCTGAAGGAAGCTCTGAGAAAGGGGCAGAGAGTCCTGGATCCATCCTGCCCCACACAGAGGGACCCCAGGAAGGGGCAGCAGCCCCAGAGCGGAGCAGATGGCTCTGTTTTACCAGGCAGAGTGCCCTGGAGCAGGAGGGAGAAGGAGGAGGAGAAACTCTCCTGCAGCTGCCAAGATCCTGCCACACATGCAGCAGCCAGGAGAGCCATGGCTCCTCTGCCCCTCAGAGCAAGAGAAAACACGAGCCGTGCCTGCCTCATTTGGTCTCAATCCCTGCTTTCTTCCAGCAGGAGCAGCCTGCTAGGGTCACTCAGGGGCAGCCCTGGGCAGAGCTGTGCCCTGTTTGTCTGATGGGTGAGCCGTTCCTCCTCGCTGCTGTGCCAGGGCAGGGGACCAGCATCCTGCAGGCTCCTTGGGAGCACAGTTTGGATGGGAAAGAGGGAGTGGATCCCCAAGGATGTAATTTGGGAATGACCAGTGGGCACAGACAGGTCAGCCAGCTCCACCGTCACAGCTCTGCAGGGCTAGGTGACAGCCCCCAGCATTGCAGGGGTCGAATGGAGGAGAAAACCACAAAACCTGCTGTTTTCACCATTTTACCAGCTGGGACAGGGTGAGGATGCAGCATGGTTTCCCCATGCACAGCAGCAGAGCCACGTGTACAGGAGCCTGCGCTCCCCCTCCGAGCAGCACTGCTCAGAGTATTTCCTGGAGGCATTTCAAGCCACCTCGCTCTGCGTGCTGGCATAGCCACGAGGCTCAGGGAAGGACGAGAAGCCATAAGTGGTGTTCTCCCTCTGCCAGTGCAGTGCCCTGAGACAGTGCAGCGAAGCCCACACCGAGCCAAGGGACACCAGAGCTGTTGTGCAGTGCTGAGCATCCAGCCCTGCTCCCAGCTGGTCTCCAGCCCTACACAGACTGCTTCCCATAAACCAGGTCCCAATGGCAGCTCTGGGGATGTCCTCACTCTCCTGGGTCATGCTGGCCTTGATGGGATGGCAGGTGACAGCCGATTCTCATCAGGACAAGAGATGAGGGAAAACAGCTCTAAAATCATTCCAGTTTAAATTAAGGCAGAACTTGTTTACCAGGATTTACATCAGTCCCAAGCAGTGTGAGCATCCAGCATGTTTGTGGGGGAGGGGAGAGCTGGATTAAACCCACAGCAACCCGTGTCACCAGCAAGCACAGTATAAATATAGCTGCATCGAAACATGCCTTGAGCTCCAGCAACCTGCTCCTGCAGCTCCCGCTGCTTGGAGGGTGGCTGAGTCCCTTCTCCACCCTCCTGCATAGACCAGCAGAGGTGAATCGGGATGCTGCAGGCACAGCTGTGGCCTTGCACCAGTTCTGACAACGGGCCCCCATTGGCATCCTCTCCCCAGAAAACAACAGTGGGCAAAGGGCTGGCAAGAAAACGGGCACTAGAATGTTTCTGGAAAGTGTGAGATGAAAGAGGGGGAGATCTTCAAAATAGGGAAATGCTGGAAGGCACATTTGTTCTAATGAGATTCCCTCAGGTCATCCCAGTTCGTTGACTCTGCTGCCAAGTGCCATCAGCTCCACGTCCCAACCCATTCCACCCCAAACCCACCCAACCCAGCCTGCAGGGAGCAGCTCACCCGTCTGTGGCCCCCTGCACTGAGCCTGACTTTGCTGCTGGTTCCCCCCAGGTCCCTTCGGCGCCAGCACCATGCATTGGGCCACCATCCTGCTTGTTGCCGGGCTCTGCGGAGCCTCCCTGGGCCAGTACAATGAGGAGGAGGATCTGGCGTGGCTGCAGTACTACATGCGGCAGTCCCGGATGTCCTCCTACAATTACATGCCCTACTACGAGGATGAGAACAGCCCCTACGTTTATTCTTACCTCCCGGCCCCGGACACTGAGGCAGAGCCCGTCCCTGAAGCTCAGCAGGCCTCATCCTGGCAATGTCCCCAGGAGTGTGACTGTCCCCCCAACTTCTCATCAGCCATGTACTGCGACACGCGCAACCTGAGGTATCTGCCCTTTGTCCCCACACGGATGAAGTACGTCTACTTCCAGAACAACCAAATCACCGCCATCCAGGAGGGAGCTTTCGACAACGCCACTGAGCTGGAGTGGCTCGCACTGCACAACAACCAGATCAGCAGCGAGAAGATGGGCAAGAGGGTCTTTGCCAAGCTGAAAAACCTGGAGCGCTTGTACATGAACAACAACAACTTGACCAAGATGCCCAGCCCCTTGCCCCGGTCCCTGAGGGAGCTCCACTTGTCTTACAATCAGATCTCCAAGGTCCCCTCCAATGCTCTGGAGGGTCTGGAGAACCTCACTGCCCTGTACCTCAGCCACAACTACATTTTTGAGATGGGAGCATCCCTCAAAGGGCTCAAGTCCTTGATCCTCGCTGATCTGAGCTATAACCACCTTAGGAAAGTCCCTGATGGGCTCCCGATAGCTCTGGAACAGCTTTACTTAGAGTACAACTACATCAACACGATCCCTGATGACTATTTCAAGGTGTCTCCCAAGCTGCTCTATGTAAGGATGTCCCACAACAGCTTGACAAACCAAGGGCTTTCTACCAACACTTTCAACAGCAGCAGCATCCTCGAACTGGACCTCTCCTACAACCGGCTCCAGAAGATCCCCCGGGTCAGCACCAACCTGGAGAACCTCTACCTTCAAGGGAACCAAATCAATGGTGAGCAGATGCATGTCAGCCACGCATAGTGGGGATGGGGAGGTGGGGAGGGGGAACTGTGCATGAGGCTGCCCAGGGAATGGTTTGAGCAGGACACTGGAATTTGGCAGATCTCTGATCTCCTCGGTGCATGGCTGCAAGGCAGGAAAGGGGCTTGATCTATCGCCAGCTCTGAGATCTCCTATGTGATGCACAGAGACACTGCTTTGGTTTTATTGAGCATCTTCTGGCTGGACGTGCCAGAATTGTGGGTAGAGACTGATGTACAACCTGGGGAGGGGCCTCCAAGGATGAAGAATCACCAAGAGTCCTGGGAGGGTCACTGAACATGGGAATAGGCATCACCCTTGACAGGGCTAGTGTGCGGCTGCAGGCAAACCCTGCAGTGCTCAGTGCTCTGCAGCACTGGGGCCGGCACATCCCCCTGCAGCCTCTCTGCCCTCCTTGGCAGGATGCCCTGAGCTCTCCAGCTGCAGCTCTCCCAGTCTGACACCTCCAGTTTATTCTCAAGCCTTCAGTAATCCACAGAAGATGTGGCTCTGGTCGTTCCCAATGTGCCAGAGGTGGCCCTGATGAGCCCCATCCCTCCCCCAGCCCCTGGAAGCCCCCAGACCTCCCCAGGAGCCACTGCCTGCAGCTGATGGGTACATCCTTGCCAGGGCTGCGACAGGCAACAGCTTTTAGTTTTTAGAGCATCTTCTGCCAGGACTAACATTCACTCTATTTAATACACACGCACACATACACACAAATAAAAGGAACACTTACTGTTTGCAAAATAATAATAATTAGAACAACAAGCAAATTGTATCTCGTGGAAAAATCCCCGCTTGCTTCTCTTACCTGGCAGGGCTGAGGGCAGAACCCTACAGGAGCAGTGCTGCTGCACCGGTGCAGCCATCAGTTGTTGCAGGGAAAACAACCCCACACTGAGGAACTGACAGAAACACAAAAACAAGAACAGATTCCCAAATGTTTGCTTTCAACATTTGTAGCTGTTAATGTCTGCCCACAAACTCCATGAAACCACTGTGGAGTGGAGCTTTCCACGCTTGTCTGAAGCTCTGCTCCAGATTTGCTGCAGACCTCTGGAGCCCCGTGTGCCCTTCGGTGGAGAGCGGGGCACCCGCATCACATCTGGGTGCTGTGCAGCCCCCCGGGAGACGCTGCTGCCTTCCATGTGCCCCCTCCTGCCACCAACCCCCCGTCCCCCGCCTCTCCTCCCTGTTTCAGACAGTGCGGAGCTGCACAGCCCGTGAGGAGCACAGGCTGAGCGCAGACAGGGGGTTTGGGTGAGGGCTGCGCACCCCAGTGCGCCCCAGAGTCTTTCCCAGAAGCTCGCCTGGAGCTTTGCTGCCCCCTAGGCGGTCGTTTCTCTCCTGAGTCCCGCAAAACACGAGATTGGTCCCGTATCCCACCTGCAGACCCAGGGAGGGATGGGCCTGAGAGCTGCAGACAGCAGTGGGTGGCAGAGAGAGGAGAGGGAACACGGATGGGACAGGGACCTCCCCCCACAGACACAGTGCCTGGGTGGTCCCGCTCCCCGTCGGTGCCAGAGGGTCTGGATGCTGCAGCATGAACTCATGAACTGCAATGACACTTCCCTTTGAAAAGTGACTGGTTTTGTCTGACACCACCCAGCTCTGTTCTTTTATCCTACCAAGATTCCAGCTGTGCTGGGCAAAGTCACAGCTCCGAAAGCCCTGAGCACGCACAGCCTCAGCGCTGCTTTGGGCTCCAGCTGGAAGCACCACCCACTCTGCTGGTTTAGGATGGAAAGGCGTGGAGTCCAATTTAGTTGTAAACTGCTCATTTAGGGTTGCGATTGTTGTTCTCCTGCCTGACCTGCGTCGGCTGGGCACCCTCTGACCCACTGCAGAACGGGGCCTTGACAGCTTTCCTTCCCCCACAGAATTCTCCATCAGCAGTTTCTGCTCCGTCGTGGATGTGATGAACTACTCCCGGCTCCAGGTGCTGCGGTTGGATGGGAATGAGATCAAGCGCAACGCGATGCCCCCCGACGCCCCCCTGTGCCTGCGGCGTGCCACCGTCATCGAGATCTAGCCTGCTGCCAGCCCTGCTCCTCAGGACTCTGCTCCCTCCTTCCCGGGGAGACACTCACTCCTATTTTAATGCAGCTTGACAGTTTGACTTGGCTTCTGCAATAGTGCAATAAGGGTGCTCCAATGCCAGCCCACGCAAGGGGGCAGGATCTGCTCATCCCTAAATCCCCACCGTCTCTCCGGCCTCACAGATCCCACGTAGCCGTGCCCGGTCCGTGCAGGAGGCAGTGGGGAAGGAGAGGAGCTCATCCCATCTCCGAAATGTGGTGCTGAGCATTCGGCTCCGGATGTGGGTCCTGCAGAATCACCCTGGTGGCTCCCCCTAGGCAAGGGTTTGGTGATCGCTTGGAGCTCAACAGGTAAAGGGTTACAGATTTCCCAACCACCAGCATTCCTCTCTCTAGGATGGGAATAAGCAAATCTTTATCTCTACTTCCCCACATTTCCCTGAAGCTTCCTGCTCCAAACATCAAGCCAAGAGGAAAGAAATCTTTCCTGCTGCTGCCCAGCAGCCTCCAGCTGCTGAGGTCAGAGAGAAACTCCTTGAGGAGCAGCCATGGCCAGAGGGACCCTCACACCTCCCCAGGTTTTGGGACAGGACTGGGGCCGAGAGACGGGCACATTGCAGTGCCGTCACCCCACAGAGCTCCGGGTCCATGCCAGGAGCAGCCCTCTGTCCCTGCTGTCCCTGCCCAGGCACCAGGTGCTGCTGTGAGAGCAACTGGGCCACATTCTGGGTCTGCGCACAGCCGTGCCCTCCCACCCCATTGCTGTGTGCCACTCAGCTGCAGCTGCCCCAGCTTAGGGAGAGCAGCCCCACAACAGGTGAGATTTCGAACCAGGTGGGATCCACCTGGCTTTAACAGGGGAGGGTTTCCTGGTGCCTGACTCCTGTACTCACCCATGCTGCAGGATCTGCCCTACTCGTACCACTCCTCCACCTGTTGGCACAGCTCTGGACTTCCCACCCAGGGAACTGGGCTCTCCCATTAAGAATAAACGATGCAGCAGTAATGTCTGCATGGGCAGCACATCTCGATTTACAGAGAGCTGAAACACCCACTTCGTTCCTTGGACAGGCTTACTGAGAACCAAAGGGGCAGCTGAGCTTTGAAGATGACCTGCAAAGCCAAAGAGGTCATCCAGACCCTCTGCATTTAAACTGCATGCTAACATTATAGAAACAAACAAACAAAAAAAAAAAAAAAACAAAAAAACAAAAAAAAAAACCTGCACTATCACCGGCGCATGAACTGTAGATGTCATAGCGACGAATAAAGCCCTTTCTGTAACTGCACAAAATGTGTCTGAGGAATCCCAGCGCCACGTGGAGCCGCTCGCAGCTCAGACCCTGTGATAACGCTGCGCTGTGCATCCGCCGTCTGGTGGCTGCTGCAGGCACTGCGCTGCACTGCGGGGTTCGTAGAATCTTGGAGTGTTGGAGTTGGAAGGGATCCCTCAAGGCCATCCGGTCCCACGCTCTGCAGTGCACAGGGGCACCCACAGCTCCGTGCTCACAGCCCCATCCCTGCCCTTGGGGGTGTCTGGGATGGGACATCACCACCTCTCTGGGCAGCCTGTGCAGTGCCTCACTGCCCTGACTGCAAAACACTTTGTTCCTATATCCAACCTAAACCTCCCCTCTTTCAGTTTGAAACCATTTGCCCTTGACCTGTCACACAGACCCTGCTATATAGAGTCTGACCCCTCTTTCCTACAGCCCCTTTAGAAACTGAAGGCCGCTCTCAGATCTCCCCACAGCCTTCTCTTCTCCATGCTGCACAGCCCCAGCTCTCAGCCTGTCTTGCAGGGCAGCGTCCCATCCCTGGGATCACTTCTGTGGCCCTCCTCTGGATGTGCTCCAACAGCTCCACGTCCCTCCTGTGCTGAGGACTCCCCATCTGGACGCAGTGCTCAATGCAGAGCAGAGGGGCAGATCCCCTCCCTGGCCCTGCTGGCTGCGCTGCTTTGGATGCACCCAGGATACGGTTGGCTTCCTGGGCTGCGGCCGTCGGGCAGCGGGAGAAGCGCTCCGGCCTCACTCCGCTCACCCCGGCTCCATCCCCTCCGCACGCCATCGCTGCCCCCCGCAGTCACAGCCCCTGTAGGGACAGATGGACAGGAGTGGGGCAGACGGGGCCGCGCAGAGCCCACACACGGCTGGTGCCGAGCTGCCCCGAGGGGACGCTCCGTCCTTCCCGGCGGGGCGGCCTCAATCTCGGCAGCGGGGAGGGGGGAACGAAGGGCAGAGGGGCTGCGCACTCTCCCTTCCCCACACTCCCCCACTTCTCCCCCCTCCCCCCAGAAAGTGGCAGATCCCATTGGTCTTGCGAGCCCGCTGGCGCCCAATCAGCGCCGTGTTGCTGTGTAGGGGACGGCAGGATGGGGGCTCGCGTCCCCTTCCTCCTCCTCCTCCTCCTCCTCCTCCTCCTCCTCCTCCTGTTGCTGGGAGGAGCGGTGTCCGGGGCCGCAGCGGTGTCCCCCCGGGGAGGAGGGGCGCGGGGTTTTGACCGGACTCACTAAGAGCCATAAAGGAGGGGAAAACCCCAAAGCAACTGAAAGCGACTCCGCTGCCCCCCCCCCCCCCCCCCCTCCCCCGAGGTGTCCCCGTGGCTTTGTGGGGCACCGCACACCACGACCAGCAGCTCCCACAAGGACGGGCAGGGCTTCTCCACAGTCCCCCCAAACCCCCTCACATTTCAGCTCCCAAAGTCCCCAGTTTTCAACATCTTTTCCCACATTTTCTTAGCCTCCTTTCTTCCTACTCCTCTCTCCCCTACCCCCCTGCCTCCCCCCTTTTGAAGCATCCCTTAGCTCAGACCTACCCAGGGCGCTTACAAACAGCCCTTTACCACCACATTTCTCCACGGGATTTATGTTTCAACAGCACCATCTCAGATTTTACCCTCTGGGGACACAGATGAGAATGAAGCAAAGGACACCTGTGACCCAAAGCCACTCCCAGGACACGAGTGCTGGGCACAGCATACACACCCCGTCCTTCAGCATTGCTCCATTCTCCCCAGCCTTAACCTAAAACCTTTATTGTTGTGATGTTAGGATGTGTCAGTGCAGACAGAGCCATCGGGATTTCTGCTTTTTTCTGATTTCTGCGGTGCCTCATTTCTCACACTGATGCTGAGGACAAAAGGACTGAGTCCCACACACGGCTGTCTGCAGACGGGCAGCAATAAAGGTTGATTATTAATAAACCACATGGATTCGGGCCACGGCAGCTGTGACATTGCTGGGAAGAGATAAAGAAAATTGCAGAGGTAGAGGGAAAACATGCCAAGGGGGGGGACCAGTGTGTTCCCAGCAGAGATCAACCAGACCCCAATCTCTGCGTGGTCCCACATTATGGAGGAGAATGAGGATTGGAGACTACCCAGCTCCCACTCCTCCACACCAGGGCTGAAGATTCGGGATGTGGGGTTTCAATGCTCAGGCAGCAGTCAGTGTGAAAGTTTTGGGGGCTGCTGGGCAGCCCAGTGCCCCCGCATTGCAGAACCCTGGGACAGAGGGAAGGGCAAGAAATTCCCAATCTGTTCGGCTCCCATTCTTGCCTCCCCTTTTGTTCCACTCGCCATCTGTCCCACAGCCCCGCGCGCCCCGCGCTCCCTCTGCACGTGCTGTAAATATCAAGCTGGGTTTTGTCTCTGCTTCTAAAGGCACAACGCACCCAGAGCCGTGCTGCAGCCCCAAGTGCCAGCCTTAAAGCTGCGAGGGCTGGCCCTGCCAGGGGTCCTGCTGCTCCTTCCTGACTGCTGGGATCAGGGGGGCACAGCCCTGCCCCGCTCTGCTTCTCGGGGATTTGTAAGTGTGCCGTTCCCTCTCAGAGCCATCCCTGGGGGAGGAGGGTCCCAATCCCTCTCTAGGAGAGTAGCACCCCAGCAGCTGTCCCAGCCTGGATGCGGCCTTTAGCTCACAACAAAGCCACCAACCCGTCAGCAAGGGCAGCTGCTCTGCTTCAGCTCGGTCCTTCCCCTTCCCTGTTTTATCTGGGGCTATAATAGACACAAACTCCCGGGTAAAAGGGTATTGTCAGAGGGAAAATGGGCCTCACCCTTCATCTGGCAGCTGGGAGCCGGGGGACAGCGCGGGCTCAGGGGCATTGTTGCAGTTTCCATAAGGCGTTTCCTGGTGTGTCCCGGAGGAGCAGTGCTGCACGCAGTGTGTCACCAATCCCAGCTCATTCAGTGGGTAACGGAGCACAGAGAAAGCCCAACATTACTCACATGGCTCTGAACCTCCACCTGGCAGAGTCCTTTAGGGGCTCAGCATCCCAGACAATGACCTGTGGGAAGTGGTGATGCTCCCATCCCAGGGCCAGCCAGGCACCATGTCCCCACTACTTCAGTCCCTCGGTGTGCTTTGGGAACGGGAGTAGGGCACAGCCCTCAGGGACAGTGGCACAGCATCTCCAGGGACATCAGGGCATAGCACTGTCCCTATGGTTCATGCCCCACAATGTGCTGGGACACTGCATTCCTCCCAGCTCACAGAGTGGAGGACAAAAGAGTTCAGGACCAGGTTGCCCAGTGCCAACAGACTCCTCAAATAACAATAATTACTATTAGAATATTTAATAAGAACAGCATGCAAAGCAGCAAGCTCTGCCCTGACCTGCACGGTGTGGGGAGCTGCTTTTCTCCCCAGCGCTCCCAGCCCTTCTCTTGGAAAACAAAAGGTGCAAAGTTCAGTGGTGCATGAAAGAGAAACAAAACCTGGTCCCAGCTGCAACTCCCCCACCCCCCCCAACAGACAGATGGCAGCAGTTGTCCCTGCACACCAGTTGCTCACTGTTGCCAATAAGCCCCTTTATCCCCCAACAGGTCATAAATGAGAGCATTGGAGCTCAGCAGCCGCTGTCATGGAGGGGCTGGAATGGGGACAGAGACAGGAATGGGGATGGCATGGTATAGGAATGGAGACAGGGATGGGGGTGGGGACAGGGACAGGAATGGGGACAGGGATAGGATAGAGATGGGATGGGGATAGGGCAGGAATGGGGACTGAAATGGGGATGGAGACAGGGATGGTTCTCCCCATGGGATGTGCAGTGGAAAACAAAAAAAGCAGCTCAGTGCCGCCTGCGCATTTGTCAAGGCCCCAGGAGACACAGTGGGAGGGTGGCTGGGGAGCCCCCAGGATCCCATTACCCTGTTTTTACCAGGGATTGGAAAGGGGTGATCTTCTCTGTGCTGGTGTCTGTAGGGCTGGTGGGGACACACAGGCTTAGGGTCAGGGCTGCAGGGAGCTCAGGCTCTGCTCTGCAAATGGTGTGAGGGGAAGGGAGGAAAGGTCTGTCAGGACAGAGGGCAGGTGGGGAGCACGGCCTCCCAGCAGGATCTGCTCTGCCAGCCCTGGCGAGGGCAGAAACCAGCAGGAATTCACACGCAGCACAAGATGTGGGTTCGCTGGAGCTGGTGCTGCTGCAGCCCCTCCAACCACACAAAGCACCGTCCCGTTGCTGGGCCACGTGAGCGCAGTTTCTCCAGCTCTGGCAGATCCTGGGAAGATGGTTTGAGCTGCGCACACCGCAGGTGACGGCGTGCCCTGGGCATCCCCTCCCATCCCCAGGGCTGGGGCAGAGCTGCTGGATTGCCCCAGATACAGGCACCCACGCAGTGCTGATTGGCCTCAGCTGAGCCGAGGTCCCCGCTCCCGTCCCAGTGGCAAAGCCCGGGCAGGAAGCACCTGGAGGAGTCCGACCCCACGCCATGTGCTGGGGCGGGTGGAGGCTGGGTTTCACTTCTGCTGATGTTGCTTTTCTGGTAAGTTAGAAGTGAGAAATGCTCAGCTTCTGCTAAAGGGACCCCTGGAAAGAGTGCAAAACAAACACACAAAAATCCAATAATATTTTGTCATGAATTGAGCAAAATATCTTCACGGAGTCTGTCCGCAGTGGTCACTGCCTTCAGGTCAGGACATTTTCCGCAGCTGATTTGGACTTTGCACAAATGGCATTTTTCCAGCAGACAGCCCCAACCCAGCAGGAAGGACAGGTGGGCAGAGCAAAGGGCATCGGGCAGTGCTCCGGCCCAGGACACGTCGGGGATGAATGCTGGTTTGTGCAACACGCCAATTGCTGGTGGTAGGGGGAACCGACCAACCTGGGCTCCTTGAATCAAACACTTCCAGCAGAAACATCCAAATTAAAATAATAATAATAATAATAATAAAATCCCATCAGGAATCCAGCAAAAAGCTTGGCAGAAAGAGTGTCAAGATGGTAACAGGAGGTGGGGAGCAGCGGTTGTGCCTTTATTTACTTCCAGTCTGTCCTGAGCTGGTCCTGGGGTGTCACCCTGCACCCCTCCCCACACCCCAGAGCTGATCCTGAGGGACCACGATCCGACCAGAAGGAGAATGATGAGCAAAATAAAAATAGGAGATGAGTCACCTACGAGAAAGCCAGTGGGCAGACCTGGCGGCTGTGCCATAGTGCTGACTCCTCACTGAACACTCCTCTACGTGAGAGCTGTGTTTTTATCCAGGCTGAGAGCACTTCAGTTTTGGGCCATCACAGCTCTGCTTGTGGGGACTCAAATGGTGGTGGCTGCAGCCCTGCAAGAACCCAGACAGAACCCATGGGCACAGCGGGGTCACGGGCTGTGCTGCCCCCCCGGATCATGTACACAGCAAATGGGCACCAGCCCACCACTCTGTGCCTTTGAACCCACATGACTCCAATGTAATCAGCAACCAACGGATCCCATTCCTCCCTAACAGCCCTGTTTCACAAACAGCAGCAATTTGGGTGTGCTTACTGAAACTAATGAAGGGATGAGTTCAAAAAGGAGTGGCCTTGACAGAGCACCAAAACCGACACACCAGTTGTTTTCCAGGCAGGATAAAAGCAGGAGGGGGACATGGCTCTGTTCCCAAGCCAGTGCCCAC